GTCTACAGTTAAGACTCCTAAGACCATATTTTGGCAACTGAATAAGTGCCTTGAATTTCCAAGTTGAAATTATGCTGCAATCAATTGGAATTTGCCATTGAAAGTTAGTCCACTTTTATTTTGGTTCCTCCATATAAATTTAGAAGCTTAACTTCAGGTACCCAACTTTAAACATGTAGGTTAAAGGTTCTTGATTCTCCTCTCATGCTTCATATCTATTTAACTCCTTGATTGGGGTACAGTTACCACTGAATTTCAATAGTATAAAATTAGAACCAAGCTCAGTCTTTGGAATAAAGACAGAAAATTAAAACCTTTCTCACAGCTTCTCTAATTTTTGGGGGGTGTTTTCTCTGTGCATATTTAGGATTTAAAGAAGAAATTAAACTATGCAACTTTATGTAGGGGGCTCTATAGAAACTATCTGCTTTGACCAGTTCCGATTAGAGTTCCATATATAAACAATATAAAATATCGTCTATTTTGAGTTCTGTAAGTTACATGTGGTCACAACAGATATACTGAATGTGTTATAAGACTTCAGGAAGGGATTACAAAAAAAGATGCAGTACCTATAAACCAAGATTTGCTACTTTGCATGAAAGTTATGTATCACTCAGTACATTTAATTCCTACAGTACCTTCAGTGTATTACTTTGCAACAAAAAATGCTGGAGTCTGGTTCTTTACCCTTATTCTTTTTGTTTGCATCTAAATAAGATGCATTAATGTGTATTAGCCTAATTTAATGCGCAGTATGGGTGCACATCTACATGTGCACTCCCTTACTGTGCGGTAAAAATGGCTAATCACACCTAAATTTGATACCTGCAAATGCAAATGCAGGTATCAAATTTAGGTGTGATTACTTAAAGCGCATTAATGCACGTGTAGAAGTGACCCAGTACTAACTTTAGTGATGGATCTGCCAAGCCACTAGCGGTCCACCCTAAGCCCAACGCCAGGGCTCCTGGCTGGGTGCCTCTCCTGCCCCGGGGTAGGCACTCTGTGACAGCCCCTACCTGCAGGCTATAAAAGCCAGCAGCCATTTTGTGTCCTGGGGTGCACACACCAGGACCCTGGAGCACTGCAGGCCCTGTGCCCCACTGTATAGGACCTAGGCTGCTTCTGCTAGTCCTGTCCCCTGGTCAGAGCTCCTGCTTGGCCACAGGTGTGGCAAAGGGCTGCAGCCTGCTGCACCCCCTGACATCTCCTCAGAGCTGTTACCTAGCTGCCTCTGGTAGGAGGGGCAACACCTGCTCTCTGCTCCTGCTCACCCCCAGCACTGTTACCTGTCCTTGCAGGTCCTGTGGTGAAGTGCCTCTGCCACGCGGCTCCCAGTCCCTGGCTCTGCCCCTCTGCTGAGCACTGCTGGCCGCTGTTCAGGGTCAGCCACACAAGGACAGCTGCACGGGGTCCCAGAGAACCGGTGCAAGATGCACCACTATGTCCTCCCTGTTGAGGACTATCACCACCCATGTACACATACCTGAGCCTTCCACCCATGGTCCGAACTGGAGCCAGAAGGAGGTTGGCAACCTCATGGCCCTCTGGGAGGATACGGAGGTCCAGAGGCAGTTTGCATGTGGTGGGTGCTCAAACACCCATATTTATAAGGCCCTGTTGGGCAGGATGCATGCGTGAAGGCACTCCCAGACAGCATGGGAGTGCCACATAAAAGAGCAAGACACAGTGGCTGCAATGGGTGGCTGTGACCAACCACAGTCGTTGGTCCAGTCATGCCCACAAGACCATGCCCTTTATGCGAAAGTTGACCAACATTTTGGTGCCTGGGGACCCAGGCTGCAACCCATAAGTTTTCACCAGCCAGGGCAGCCTGGCCAAGGCCTCACCCCACCCTGACCCCTCTGGTGATGACACCTCCCTGGAGGAGGGACCCTCACGTGTTCAGTGCCCTGCCCACTTCCCTGGCTGCTGCACCCACTAGCAGTTTGCAGAGCCCGGGCCAGCGGCTGCCTCACCAGCTCCACACCCCCAGACCCTGCCACAAAGAGCAGCCAGCCATGACACCACCTGCCACTACCAGCACCAGCTCCTCCCCAGGTGCCTGCCCACTGCACACCATGGGCTGAGGACACTGGGCACAGCCAGACACTGTTGCTGACAGGGAAGCCTGCACTGAGCCTCCAGCCTCACCAGCACTGGACACGTGGTAAGTCTTGCACTTTGGGGAGGGCCCTCCCAGTCCCTGCCCCTGGCCCTGGCCCTGGCCCTGGCCCCTGCCCCTGGCTGGCCTGCCTGTATTTCCCCTGACCCTGTGTTTCACTCCTACCACAGCATGCAGAGAGGAGGGACACGGTTCAGAACTTTATTAAGCAGTCCATGTCCCTGCAGCTGGGCAGGCATGGGCCTCTTACACCCAGAGGAAGGTGTTGATGCTGGCAGTGATGTCCTCCTCAGCAGTAGAAGGCAGGGACATGTAATGCTGCCACAAGTAGCCTTCCAGGTAGCAGCAGAGGTTGTGGGACAGCCCACACCATCATACCTCAAGGTCCCAAGCAAGGAGTACAGGTGTGCCTGGGGCACCAAGAGAATCATCATCAGCAGGGCATAGTGGCTTGGGCACCTCTTCACCTGCATAAACAGCTCATCATGCACTGCCCAGAACACATGCAACAGAGGCACACTAGGCATGCAGTGACAATGTAGGGGGGTGGTGGCCCTGGATTGCCTCCCCAGAGAGCAGAGCAGGGGCATAGCCAGCCCCTTGCCCCAGTTGTCCAGGAGCCCTGTGTGCCCTGAGCCTGGGTGCTGTGGGCTGGGTGGCAGCACAGCAATGTGATTGGCCTGCAGGGAGAGAGGGGAGCAGGGTCTGGAGTTGCGGCAGCAGGTGCTGCCAGCAGCCTGGCCTGTCCCACCCTGGGAATGAGGTGGGGGAGGCAGGCTGCCTGTGGCCAGCACCCAGTGGGCCACCGGTCCCAGAGGAGCAAGGGGAGACAGGGAGCTCAGGCAGCAGCCAGCTGGGCCCAGAACTGCCCGGCTGACTTACCATGCTCCCTGGGCATCTGCGTATGGCTGACCCCCAATCTGAGGCTAGGTAGCGCTCGGCCCCTGGTGCAGAGCATCTCATCTCTGGAATGTTGCAAACTTACAAAAGGCCTCTGTGTCTTGCCTTTGCAGGGCCAACATCTAGACATGGGGGATGCAGGCTCTGGGTCGCTGCCACCCAGCGCTGGAACTCTTCACATGCGCTGGCTAAGCCAGCAGTGCACACAAGACTGGACCCTCCTGCTCCAGCAGCTGGTAGCAGTGGCAGAGGAGTGGGAGGCATGGGAGCAGGCATGGGAAGTGCAGGAGCAAGCCTGGCAGGCAGACATTGCCTGGGAGATCACCCACGAGGAAGTAAAGAATCGGGCCCAGCGGGAGCACTAGGCACAGATGCAGGCCCAAGAACGGGACTGCACTGAGCTGCTCTGGCAGCTGGTGGGCCTCCAGGCCTGGCAGTGGAGGTTGCAGACACCAACTGCTGGACCCTGAACACTCTCCTGGGCCTGGTGCTCACACCCATGACCCCCACTGCCTGGCCCTTGTCCATGGCCCTGCTGCCCCACAGCAGGCCCCCTCTGGGCCCTGGGAGGAGACCCTTCAGCACCTCCAGCCTGCCAGAGCCCTTGGCCCAACCCCTGCTCCAGGTCCCCAGCCACCCAGCCCCCTGCCTGGGCACAGGCCTGCCACTTGTTCCAGCTCCATGCGGGCATGGAGCCACAGCAGCCAGCAGTAGGAAGAGGACCCCACACCAGCCCCACTGGCCATGAACAGCTCCAAGTAGAGGGGGAGCCACCCATGCTGGAGAACCTGCGGCTGCCATCCCCCTGGGGCATGTGCACCCATGGAGGCATGTGCATCCATGGAGGAACTGGCCAAGGCCAGGATATTGGGTGCCTGTGCCCATGCTCTGCCCTCTAGGTACCTCTACCCCATGGCTGCCCACTCTGGGACTCAGAGACTAAGACTATTGTTAATAGTGTGCACTTTTGGAAGTAGGTTTTTATTGTTGGAGGGTGGTGGAGGGGCTCTATTGGTTGAGGGAGGAGGGGGCTCTGTGTGTTGCGGAGGGAGGGGGAGGAGGCTCTATGTGTTGAGGGGGGAGGGATGGGGGTCTATGTTGTGAGAGTAATAAAGCTTTTTTGTCTCAAACATGTGCCTGGCCTGAGAGTGATGTTGGAGGTAGGCAGGGGATAGGGGGTGTCTTGGCAGTGGGGCAGGTGTGCTGGAGCAGGGAGTGCAAGAGGGGGTCGGGCAGGCCTGCTGCAGCCAGTGCCCTGGCCCCCCACTGGTGGGTGTGTGGCTGTCCTGCGGCAGGGGTGGGGGCTGCTACAACCAGCAGGGCCAGCACCAGGGCCAGCAGGAGTATGGAGCACTGTTTGTTGCTGGCAGGGGTGAGGGGTGAGGGCTGGGGCTGGAGCTGGAGCAGCCATGGCGTGGGGAGACAGGGTGGACAAGGAGGGAGCTGCCATGTGCTGCCCTTGTGCTGGGCACGCTGCTCCTGGGCAGGGAAGGGGTTAGCCAGGGATCAGAGTGTGGACCTGGGTTTCCAAGATGGCTGCCAAGTGGTGGTAGCAGGTTTGGGCTTCAACATGGCTGCCAATTGCTGGCAGCCAGGTGGCCAGGGGCTGGAGCTCCCCCCAGTGGCCACAGGGGCACATGATAGGGCTGGAGGGACTTGACCCTAGATTTTGTGCCAAGTTTCTCCACGTGTAGACACCTGCCAAAATCGCTGCTAAATTTAAGCACTAAATTAGGCTAATACACAGTAAATTTAGTTGCACTTAAATGTACGTATAGAATGCACCCTTTGCATTGTATTTTTATGCTTTGATAATTGATAAGATTGTTGATGGAGTAAAGTTTTATTCAATTTGAGCAAGGGTGGCCAAATCCAGCACACAGGAAAGACATTAGCATCTATCATAGCAGTTAATAGGCTGATAGCATTTTATCACTGTTTTCCTAAATGTGTTTCCTTTGCTACTTCTCAGTATTTGAAGATGAACGTCCCTGTCCTCCTGCCAGTCAGAGAGTGGAGCATGGCTGTGCAATTTTCAGAAACATCTTGCTTGCACCTCCTCCAGCTAATTATCTGTCCTTTCTGCTTGTGGATGAAGTAAGCAAAGTAAGAAGATGCCCTGGATAAATATCTTTAATTTGTCTTACGCAAGTGGGATATTTTTTCCATCAGTTCTCTGAGATACTTCTCTGTATCAATGCTAGTAGTACATCTTTGCAAAATAATCATGTTTTATGAGCCTGCGTACCAAATGTGCTACTCCATAGTGATGATGATAATGGAAAAAAACCCAAATGCCTAGCTGTCACATTAGAAAATATAATTACTGGCTGCTGGCAATTAGAATTTGCCATGGCCATATTAATCAATGTTCATTAGTTAGGGTTGCAGTTTCTGGCATATTTGTCCCTCCAAGAGACCATGTTAATCATCCACAGATGAAAGTAAATATGAATTCTTTCAAGACCTGAAGAAATACAGAATCCCACAAAATTGTTTTAGTATAAAGAAGAAAATAAATGGGGATATATGATCTCAAAATGCAGGGCGAGCCAGATCTTGTGCTTTATCTCAAGTGAGAACTTCCAAATGCTAATGGGAATGTTACTTACTGGGTGCATCTACGTGTACCCCTAGGGCACTGTTGTTACTGCGCCATCATTTAGTACATCCTTTTGGAAGTACTAAATGATGGTGCAGTGATAGACCATACTGCACTGTGCATTCGGCGCATGGTTATTTTTAGCCGCTATGTCGCCGTAGCAATGCACTATAGTGAGGGAGTGTGTTGCTATGGCGATGTAGCTGCAGCATCAAAATTTGTGCCTGACGATGCTACACTGCTGTAGTGCATTGCTATGATGACATAGCGTCCTCTGTTGATGCTCCCACTGAGGAGCAGAACATAATCACTTCCAGGTTAATAGGAGATAATGTCATAACACTATGGTGACCTGCTGTTGGCTCTCATTTTTATAAAAAGTCACCTCAGAACTTTACATAACATCCTGTGAAAGTCTATTACAGTAGCTAATTTTTAAATGTCTTTTTGACAGATTTTGGGGAGTGGATGGGGAGGGAACTGCACACAATCTCATGCTTGACATGAAATTCACACATCTTACCACAGTTATAATGATATGAAAATTATAATAATATGATGATATTAATAATGTACTAATTTCTTCTGACACAAAATGGAGTTATTCAAACATCCATGATTGTTGTCCTGGGACAAACCTTAAAAAAGTTAGTGGGATAAAAAAATGCTAAGAGTTTGTCTTGGAAGATTGTGAAGTACATTTGAATGGTTGTCCCAGAACTGAATAATTTAGTCAATGGCAGAAAAGCAACAGTGCTTGGTAGGGTGTTATGTGTTCAGGCCAATCTTGGGACTTTTCTGTTCCAGGATAAACACAGACACAACTTGTCCCAGGACAGATGCAGTGTCTGTTCCTAGCCTGACTGATGACCATTTCTGTGATTCTTTGTAGCACTTTCAAAGCATGGGCAAAGGCACTTGTCACTGTAGGTTATCATTATTCCTTGAATCAGACAGCAATGAATTGGCTGTAGAGGCAGGTCCAGAATGCCAACAAAATATTTAATGGATAAAATAGTGGGGCTCCTTTGTGTCCCATCTCAACAGTGCTTGAGGAAAACAGCCTTGAAGAAAACACCTTAGGCTCAGGAGATCCAGGCTCTGTTCCCAGTTCTGGTGCAAACTTTGACAAATTTCTTTATCTATCTGTGTTTTGGTTTCTTATGTGTAAAATGGAAATGGTAATGATTAGAAGTGCACCAATACATCGGTCCATATTGTATCAGCACCAGTAAAAGGAAAATTGACATTATTGGCAATCAACTTTTTTGGCTGATGTGGCCGATAAAGTTGCAGATGAATGTCACATGCATGCACACAGCCACAGCATGCACATGGCCAGCCTGGCAGCTTGGACAGCAGCGTCTGGCTGGTAAGTCTGGTGGGAGGGAAGGGGTGTGGGGGGGAGGGCAGATCGAGGCCTCTGCAGTAAGGGAGGGAGTTGGACTGGGGAAGGGGCAGGTGCTGCCCAGCCAGAGCAGGGTACAGGACTCAGCCGTGCAGCTTGTCCAGGGGGCACAGGAAGAGGGAGGCAGATCCCACCACTACACACACCCCTGGGGGAGGCCTTGGGCACACGTACTCCCTGGATCTGTGTGTGGGGCACGGGTGGGTTGCCACTGCAGGCTGGGACTGGGGGCAGTGCTGGGCTCTTCCTGGTGGGGGAGCTGAGCCGGGAATGTGCTTGGGGTGGGCAGCAGCACTAGGAGGGGGCAAATTCTGGGGGGGCAGCCCACCTGGGCTGCCTCCCGCCCCAGCAGGTTGGCAATCCAGCATGGGGGATGGGGAAGCAGCCCAGCTGGGCTGCCTCCTGCCCCTCTATGCAATCTAGTGCTGGGCTGCCTTCCCATCCCCAGTGAAACGTCAAAACAGCATCAAAACAGCCTTTCTGTTTTGATGGAGCGGAACAGCTGTTTCAACTTGAAATGAAGTTCGAAACGGAGTACTGTTCCGTTGAAACTCAAGGCGAAACGGAACAGTGCCATTTTGCACAGCCCTACCAGGCAGTTGCTGTGACTCTGACTCCAGCTCTGACCCAGTATCAGGGTCAAAGCTGCTATCTGTCCCCCAACCCCCACAGTTTACCTTCACTCCAGCTCCAGCCCTGCCCCAGCCTGGGACACAGAGCATGTGCTTGCTCCAGCCCCAGCCTGGCCCAGTAAGTGTTGATGGCAGCAGCGGCAGCTCCAGTTGGAGCCTAGAGCCCAGGCTGGAGCTGCTGCCATTGCCACTTGTGGTGTCAGGCAGTCTGGGGCTGGAGTAAACACATGCTTTGTGTCCCAGGCTGGAGCAGGGCTAGGCCCAGGGCCAGAATGAGGGTAAGTGGCAGGGGATGGGGGGAGGCACAGGGGAGCAGAGGCTGTAGTGGTGTCAGGAGAGGTGGAGGGTAGGCAGAGGGCAGAGGCTGCAAGGGAGGCCATGTAGGGGGGCAGCATTAGGGGGAGGGCAGGTATTAGGGGTACAGAAATAGGGAGGTGCAGGTGCCAAGGGGCAGGTAGCACAGGGGGCAAGTGGTTGGAGGTACAGGCGATAGGTACAATATGGCAGGGGGCAGGGGTCAAGCTGCTTGACTCCCCCAGCATCTGTCCCATGCCTTCCCCCCACTGCCTGCTTCCTTGCCATTGTTTTCCCTACTGCAGCAAGCAGTTAGGGGAACAAATTTAGGACATCTCTCCAATAATTAGATTATATACATGGTAAATTGTAACAAATTTATAAATATACAATAAGCATTTATAAATTATAAATGTACAGAATCTAATTATTGTGATTCTTAAATTCAGAGTTGTCTTGGCTTTGGGCAAGTATGGTATTTATCTGGAAGGCTATTTAAAACAATGATTCATGTCCTTAGGACTTCCAAAAACTAATTGAAAAGTGATCTCTTCAACTCTCTTGAAGTTTAAAAATACTAATCTAATCAGATAATGGGGGCCAAATTCTATAATAATTTCTATGCGGAAACTAAAAGGAAGATGTTAATGTAAAATAAAGGTAGATTTTTTAAAGTGTTTTTCTTAAGATTTGTTAGGAGTTGATAGGGCAAAGACCAATGGCTCGAAGTTAACAACGAAAAATTCAGGGTAAAAGTCTTAACAGGTAGGGCAGCTGTGGTTGGGAGAACAGCAAAGTGAGTGGATGAGGCTTGATCACTACATTCAGATACAGATGAGATTAAACCTTACCGGGAATGAAGCAGCCAGTAATCCTATAAATGCAGGCACAGGTAAGAAGGATTGGATCAGATGGCCAAAATAGTCTGAGCTTTTTAAAATATAGAGCTGTATAAACTACCATATTCCTTATTATGATTTGGCCCAAGAAAATGTTAAGGAATTATGATTTTTGTAGTAGTGGGGGCTTAATTTTGCTTCAGGAATTAATGGTATGAAGGTATAGTGGGTTCTGAACCATATATACACATTGAAAGCCACCAAATCCAAGTGGTGATGACTCTGCATTAGTAATTATTTTCACTTATCAATACAGAGGAAAACACTAGCACATCATAAATTACAACTCAATTTTTTGGCAGTTAATATATTTTCTTTTTTCTGCTCTAGAAAGGAGGCAGAAAGCCAAGTGGCAGAATATCTGCTGAGAAAGCTGAGAAGATGACAGTCTTGCAAGAGAAAATTGGAGACAGCAGGTATGTGTGAATCAGTGTTCCTGCTGCTCAGCTGGAGGATGCTTTTCACTGCAAGCAGTGCTTACCTCCCTGAAAAAAGCCACTGCTAACCAGCTCTTTTCTTTTGGGTAATGACCTTGGTTTGTCTTAGTTGCCCACTGCCATAATTTTCATATAGTATTGTCTTTCATGCTTTTATGTCAGTACATTTCTGTGTCTTTAGCTTATTTTGGACTAGATACTTGTGTGAACTTGATTTGTATGTGATTTAACTAATGCATGCATATACCTGAAGAACTTAGTCAGGAAATGTGTATATAGCTTTGGTTTAATTCCTGTTTTAAAATCAGCTTTGCCTTTAGTTTTCCTCTATGAAATGCATAAGTAAAAGAAGATTCGATCATTTTCAAAATTGCCACCAGATTTGTAGGTTGCATATTTACCAAGCTTCCTGGGAGAATTTTGCAGCTGGCAAAGGTAGCTATCTTGAGTCTAGTTTGGATGTGTATACTCAAAAAGCAGTCAGGCATTGCCATCAGGATAGATATACACTGAGAATAAAAGGGAGGGGGATACTATTTATGAAGAAATAACTGCTCTCCTTGGGCTTCTGGGCAAGTAAAGTTTTGCAGAGCTGGTTTGGACAAATGTGATCATATAGGGATCATCTTTCTTATAGTGCACAGAAAATGAATATGGTTCTATGGAGAGATGGACTTTTTTCAGAAAATTCAGAATTGATCTAAAGAATGAAAAGGAGATACGCTGTATCAAGTTTTGTGCTCTTGATATGTCAGAAAAGACGGTGCTTACCACAGATCTTATGTGATTGTTCTTCTCTTTCCTTACCTTCTTTTGTTTTCTTGATGGGGCAGCTAAATGCTCTGTTATCAACTCCCTGCTGGGCTGGTCAGAAGCAGCGAGGGGGGGAACCCCTCCCTAATCAGAGCGTCCTGCTAGGTCCTGGCCACGTCCCCCCAGCTCAGCATTGAGGAAGGGAAGGGAGGGCTGCTCTAGTGCCCTCTGGCTTCTAGCTTGAGCCACTGAAGGCATGTGCCTGCATTATCTCAGTTCAGAGGGGATGTCTGTCTGGTTACAAACTAGTTCAGCCTAGCCAGGTTAGACTAACCTGCAAAGATTGAATCAATTCATGTTCAGGCTTTTTTGAATGTCTGTCCTTAGCCTCAGAGTAATTGATTCAAGCAGACATTAGTATATCAGTTAACCTTGAAATGCTAAAACAAGTGCTATTTTAATGTAAAGCAAGAAAAAAAAATCAAAATGAAAATGTAGATCCTGCAGCCATAAAGGGTAGTTGGTAGATTCACAGCCTAGGGAATTGCTGAATACAGGTGACTACTATGATAGTTGCAGTCACAATAAACATAACTACTGCCAAAAGGAAAAGCTGCATCTATGTATCTCAGTGGACATATCTACACAAGAGGCTTTACTGCACAGTAGAGCTAATTACTACACAGTAAGTGTCTCTGTCTACATGTGCAGACCCTTTCTGCATAGTAATTTGCTCTACTCAGTAGTTAATTTGCTTCCTGCAAATGCAGGTAGCAAATTAACTGCCGAGTAGTACTGCACAGCAAGGCATGTGTAGACAGCTGACCAGGGGCAAATTTGCTCCCAGGCAGCAGGGGATGGGAGATTGCTCCCTACTCCAGGAAGCTGTCCACTGCCAGGGTAGACACCCGTGACAGAGCTCCCAGCCCATGCTCTGTGATTGTGGAGGAGCTGAAGTTGGGAGCTCCCTGCTGCCGGGGCAAGGAATCATTGTCCCGGCCTGGGCTCCGCCACCAGCGCCCAACTTGGCAGCAAGCAGCTCCTGGGGGCAGGGAGCAATCTCTCAGCCCCTGCTCCAATCGCAAAGCTGGGGCCGAGAGCTCTCTGCATAGGGAGAGTTTCCCACCCAACCTGGAGCTGCCTGGAACTGCCCCGGACTGGGACAGTTTCTGGGCAGCCGCAGGGTGCGTGGGGAGGTCTGCACATGCAGCCCGAAGCTGGCTGGAAGCTGTCCCATTTCAGGCAGTTCCCAGCCAGCTCTGGGCTGCATGTGCAGACTGGAACAGTTCCCAGCCAGCCCTGGGCTGTGCAGGGAAGCCTGTACATGCAGTCTGGAACTGGTAGGAAACTGCTTGATACTGGACAGTTCCCAGCCAGCTTCAGGCTGCATGTGCAGACTTCCCTGCGCAGTCTGGGCTGGCCAGGAACTGTCCCGGTCTGGGCCAGGTACCAGCCCCACAGCTTTTTCCCAGCCCCATGCCCTGATCAGGCGATGGAGGCATGAGGCTTTGAAAGAGCTGTGGGGGAGGGGCAGGTCCCAGCCCCCTGCTCCAATCTGCTGGTGGGGCAGCTAGCAGCGAGCCCCTTCCTGGGCAGGGAATCCTTGCCTAACCAGTACCTCACCACTAGCTGCCCCACCAGCAGATCGGGGCAGGATGTTGGGACTTGCCCCTTCCTCAGAACTCTTTCCAAGCCCCCTGCCCCTGATCAGGGAGCCGGGGTCCAGAGCTCCCTGCTGCTGGGGCAGGGGGATTGCCAATGAAGCCTACCAGCAGGCAGCTCCTGGGAGCAGGGGGCAGATTCCCAGCTTTTTCCTGGCCCTGTGCTCCCTGCCAGCCCCTGGGCTAACCTAGAGCTGAGCTGGTTTTGTGAACACACTAAAAAAAATTATGTTGGTAAGCAGAGTCCAAGTAAATGAACAGCAGACACAAAGGATGAATTTAAGGGGCAGCCCACAAGTTTATTAATTTGACATGAAGGGTGACCACAGTGCACCTGTCCTCAATTCTCACAGACATTTAGCTAGGCTTTGTATGTTTTTACAGACCATATAACCCATACTTTAGGTTATACCTTCTTTGGCCTTTCCCAGTGAGTTTGCTAGCTTGTGAATTCCCCTCCTTCAGTTGCAGGATGAAGTGGGATACATAGTCAAGAGGGGACATGAATCTGTGGATACTTCTGTGGCACAGAGTCCACCAGTGGAATCCTAAGTAAATCTTTTGTCTCTAGGAGCCGGCTGCTTTAGCCTTTTACTGTCCTGAACAACTGCTACAATTAGCAATGAGTGAAACGGTCTCATTTTTTCTGGTATAAATCTTCCAAGCTCTGTTCTTTTAAATCCAGAAGGAAGCGTACAGTAGGGCTGTGTGAAGCTTCGGTCCCTGATTTGATTCGGTGGAGATTCGACCCAATTTGGTGGCCAAATCTCTGAATCCGAATTGAATCAAAGTACCCTTTAATCTCTCCAAATCGATTTAGACAGATTCAGCAGTTCAGTTGTAGATACAGCTTTAAATTTTTTTTCTACGTACCTCTGGGTAGCAGAGGCTCTGAATGCTGTGGTGCTGGGGCAGATGCAGCGTTCCACAGAAGCACGGGGGCTCCAGCAGACCAGGAAGTGGACCAGAAGCACTTTCAGGTCCATCAGGGAGCATGCTGGGGGGCCCCCTGCACCCCACCGGCTTGGTGACTGGTGCCTCCTGGGTCTGGGGGCAGGGGCACCTGGGGTTCCCCTGCGGCTGATTGCCAGGCTGGGAGAATGCAGGGGGTTCGCTGCCAAGCATGCTGGAAAGCCCCCCACACTGCTGTGGGACACTCCGTGCACTTCAGCACCGCAGCAATCACAAGCTGCACTGCTACCTCAAGGTATGTCAAAAAAACTTTTAAAGCTGTGCCTGTGTCCGAATCGCTGATTCATTGAATCAGCATCAAATCACCAGATTTGGATTCAGCCAAATCGAATTGGGGAGAGTGATCCGAATCAACAAATCGAATCACTGTCCCTGATTCAGGCCGAATCTGAATTGAATAGGGCCCGTTTTGCACACCCCTAACACACAGCTCTTCTACTACAGCTAACAGGTCGGAGAAAAAGGCAGCTACAGTAATAAGAAGCTATTGCAGAGTTTGAATTGTTTGGAGGGATGGAGGGAGTGGGCTGGGGATTGCAAGAGCTAATCAGCCTGTCTGGTCCCTCTAGCCCAGTCAATTAGACCTGAAGGATTCAAAGAAACTCAGAAACCTTGTTCCTGATTTGCCAAGCATGTCTTGTTACCTCCTCCCTTTCCTTCCAGGTTCTATGTCCTACTCTTGCACATCCAACTAAGAGGTCTCCCTCCTCCTCCTTTTCCCCCATTATGAAAGGAAGGGGTATTTTTTAATTGAATAGTCAATACGTAGCTCCAAGTGGTATTTTTCTCTTCTCAAAACTAAGATTTAACAACCATAAAACAAGTCTCTATCCAAAGCATTCCCCTCCTTAGAGAATCTGTTTTTCTTGAAAACTTGGTTTCTACCACAGTCTTGATGGTTTCAATCAGCCTGACAAGTAATTATGACACAGACAAGCCAACAGAAGAAATGAATCACTCCTCACAGCTTCTCTGCTCTGAAGGCATCAGCCTTTGTTCTGTCCCATTGGTCTTCTCTCACTCTTACCCTCTTTGGAGTTGTTTTGAGATTTAGGAATGTCAGAAAAAGCAGAAGAGACAAAAGAGTAGAAGTGCCAGGCTTAATATGCAACTATTGAGGCAGTCATTGTAGGATCCTATTTCTGTTTGTGTCAGTCAGACTTGGCAGTCTTCTGTTTATGATAATTCCATTTTTCTCTCTAATTCTATCCCTAGAAGACACACTCTAGACAAGCCGTGAAAAGCTTTTGCACGCTTATAGCTATGTGAATCTTTTGTGCTTCTTTGTTTAGATATAAAGTGGAGATCTTGATTTATGATTTTCAGAAGCTAAATGTAACCTTCACCTATACTCTTACACTCTTTGTCCTGAGAGAGTACAACAATCCTCTGTATTATGTGTTATCAATAAGTATTTTATGCAGAAACTTAAAAATGTGGTGATAAAATTTATTTAACTGAAACACTGGCTCTTAACAAAAAACACATTATATCTGCCTATTTTTTAGATGAAGGTAATTCATTCCAGTACAATTAAATTATGGAGTCTTACTGGTGATACATTTGAATCACGTTTAAATTACTTGATGCATT